TTTAGAAATATACTGTGCGCAAGGAAAATCGCTAACTGCGAGAATATTTTCTGTGCTATCGCCATATATAAATTTATGGCACGATGTACATAGGGACAATCATTACAATGGTGTAACGGTAGCAGAGGAATTACTAAAGCATAACACAAATATCTGTAGGAATGGTGAGCGTGGTCGGTCTTATGTGCAGTAAACGACGGCTCGCGGAATATTCCGCGCTTAGATGCAAATGGGTTATATAAGGGTGCATGGGCGTGAAACGAACAGGTCGAAGGAGAGTTCTGTGAGAGATAGTCAGTGTGAAAGGTCATAGCGTCTAGAATAAGTGTTAAATCAGTTCACAATAAATCATACTTTTATTATCTACCACCGTTCTTTTGCTGCCTCCTAAACAATTCCAACATAAATTGGGGGATCAGCCGGGATTGTGGCAGCGAGTGGGAATTACTTGAAATAAGCGACGGTAATGCCACTGAGCGTAGAAGATCTGCGTAAACTATCGGTAGTAGAACTTAAAGAAAAACTCGAATCGCGCGGACTCCGTACAACTGGAAGGAAGATAGAACTGGTGACCCGGCTATTGGAAGCGATGGACAACCAGCAAAGTCAGGACACGCTTGAAACAGGAGAGAATGCGAGGAGCTGCAATCCGTGTTCCGGAGAAATGGAAAATTTTCGGAAGACGATGTTAGAATCTCTAACGAAGGCGTTAGAAGCTGCAGTGCCGCGGATCGGAGCAGCAATTGCACAATCGCTGTGTTTGACAGCGCAGTCCCCACAGCCAGCGTCGCCGCCGTCGGTCAGCAGCGGAGAATCAGTGGCAACGAATGTTAGCATCACGACGGTCGCCGATATGATGGACCATTTCGACGGAACGCGTAACCGGTACGACCGTTGGGAGAGGCAGATGCGCTCACTCCGGAACACATACAGGCTGTCATCGGAGTCATGCAAGATCTTAGTCGTGTCCCGTTTCCGAGGTAGGGCCCAGAAATGGTATCATTCAAAACCCAACCTCATCGACACGACGATCGATGGTTTCCTCGGGGAGCTACGGGGAATGTACCATCGTCAACCGGACAAGCTCGTACGGAGAAAGCAGTTCGAAGAGCGAACATGGAGAAGAGGCGAGACATTTTGTGACTACTACCAGGACAAAATAATCCTGGCGAATAGCGTGCCGGTGGACGATGAGGAGAACCGATAGAGTACATCATTGAGGGAATCCCTAACCAATCCCTCCAGGATGAGATCCATATGCACAAGTTTCGCACGCAGACGGACCTCCTGGACGCGCATTCGAAAGGGTACCGTGACGCGGCAAAAACGGCGTCATTGATGGAAGAACTGGGACGAACAACGATAAATCGAACGACGCCAGGAGAAGAGCGGCTCCTCCGCATAGGCGCCCACCGACGGAACATCGTGGCTACGAAGCAGGGAATCGCCGGACGTCCGACTGTCCCGCAGGGAAGAGCGAGCGATGCTTCGGGTGCGAGAAGCTCGGGCATATCGCCACAGCGTGCCCACAGAGGAGTCCTGTAAAGAGGAGCGCTACACTATCGTCGGAGCAGAAGAGAACTCGTGTTTATGCAAAGCCACCGCAGGGGAAGAGCAGGTAACAGCACTCGTTGATACCACAGGGGAGTTGCGCACAGAGATTAGTATAAGCGGTGACATGTTCCCGATTACCTTGGATCGGCTCATACCCTACGAACTAATAGTGGGCAGAGATTTTCTGCAGAATTACCACCTAGCGGTTAGTAACGGGAACGTTTCTATCGAGAGGTTACGGGACGAGACCGACCAGCCTGGTCGGCTCGCACCAGCGAGTTGCCTGAGGTGTTCCGGGTCTTCCTCTGCGAAACGGACGAGACCGATCTCTCGCATATAGCTGAACGCGACCTTCGCGACAGAGTACGAAAGATGGTATAGGAATATAAACCGGCAAAAACCCGTGAGTTGGACCTAAAAATGTCCATTGTATTGAAAGAAAGTGAGCCCGTGTACGAACGCGCGAGACGACTGCACCCCGCGGACAGGGAAGAGGTCAACCGGCAAGTAGACGAATGGGTAAGGGATGGCATCGCGCAGCCTTCCCTGTCGGAATACGCGAGCCCGGTAGTCTTGGTCAAAAAAAAAAAGATGGCACGAAACGGCTATGCGTAGATTATCGGAGGTTACACGCGAAGATAGCGAAGGACAGGTACCCTCTTCCCTTAATCGAGCGCGACCGTGTTTAGCACGCTAGACCTGAAAAACGGATTTTTCCATGTGGCCATCGACAAGGATAGCCGGAAATACACCTTATTCATCGTCCCGGATGGACAATACGAATTCCCAAAAGTCCCCTTCGGACTGTCTAACTCCCCGGCGACGTTTCAAAAGTTTATAAACGCCGTGTTTAGAGAGTTAATAAACAAGCGCACGGTGATGACATACCTAGACGATTTGATTATACCCTCGGCGGACGTACCCAACGGGATAGACCGGCTGGAAGAGGTATCAGGCGTAACGGCCCATAGCGGGCTAATTATAAATTGGAAAAAATGCAAGCTCTTGCAGCGTCGCGTGGAATACCTAGGACACATCCCAGAGGACGGCACCGTGCGCCCGTCCGAGGAGAAAGTGAGGGCGGTCATGGGTTTTCCCATACCAAAAGCAATTAGGCAGGTGCAAAGTTCTATCGGATTGAGCAGCTACTTTAGAAAATTCGTACCCCACTACTCTACCATTGCCAGACCCTTGACCGACCTCCTAAAGGCGGACCGCGAATTTCGGTTTACGGAGCCGGAACTGCTCGCGTTTAACGAGTTAAAGCGTATGTTGAGCAGCGAACCGGTCCTCCGATTGTATCGAGTGGGTGCCGAGACCGAACTCCACGCGGACGCGTCGAAGTACGGTTACGGCGCGGTTCTAATGCAGCGTGCCTCCTCTGATAATAGGTTACATCCGGTGTACTACGCGAGCGGCAAGACGACGAAAGCCGAGGAGAAATATTGTAGCTACGAGTTAGAGGTTCTAGCAGTGATTAGGGCGTTGCGACGGTTCAGGGTTTACTTGCTCGGAATAAAGTTCAAAATAGTCACCGATTGTAAGGCGTTCGCGCTCAGGATGGCAAAGAAGGACCTCTGCGTTCGAGTGGCGCGGTGGATACCGCTGCTGCAGTTCAATTACCACGTCGAACACAGGGCCAGCAAGAGCATGGGGCCACGTCGACGCATTAAGCCGAAATCCTTTGCCAACGTGCCTGCCCGTTGCCACCGTTGGTGCACCGTTGAGGGAGGTTTGTTATTTAAGGTGATCGGCCACAATCATTTACTCCTTGTCCCAAAATCGCTGCAATGTCAGATAATCCGAGACGCGCACGAGCGCGGACATTTTTCCGTCGCCAAGACGGCAGCATTGATAGAAAGAGACTATTACATCCGGAACATCCAGCCGAAGGTTGTAGAAGCGATTGCAAATTGCGTGGTATGCGTATTAGCGGATGGGAAGAGTGGTAGGCGAGAAGAAGGGTTCCTAAATTGCCTAGGAAAGGGGGAAACCCCTTTCGACACTTACCATTTGGACCACCTCGGGCCGCTTCCGTCCACAAAAAAGAGCTATAACCACGTGTTAGTTGTAGTCGACGCTTTCTCAAAATTCACGTGGTTATACGCGACAAAGACTACGAGCGCAGCGGAGGTAATCGGTCGATTGGAAAAGCAAGCCGCGGTCTTCTGTAACCCGCGACGAGTGGTCACCGATCGGGGGGCGGCATTTATTTCTCACGAGTTCAAAGCATACTGCACCGAACGAAGCATCGAGCATAATCTGGTCTGCACCGGTATGCCGCGGACGAACGGACAGGTTGAGCGTGTAAATCGCGTCCTGGTCCCCCTCCTAACAAAACTGGCCCTCCCGAAGCGGAACGAGTGGTGCCGGCACCTTGACACGGCGCAACGGTGCTTAAACGTAACCGTTCAACGAACAATCGGAACTTCGCCATTCCACCTGCTATTCGGGACTCACCCTCGGCTACGCGAGGATGCGACGATCAGGGAGCTTTTGCAAAGGGAGTGGGTCTCGGAATTCCAGAACGACAGGGACGAGCTCCGTGCACAGGCGAAAGCAAATATCGAAAAGCTACAGCATGAGAATCGGAAAGGCTTCAACCGAAGGAGGATCGCAGCGAGAGACTACCGTGTAGAAGACCTTGTAGCCATCAAGCGCGTACCCAGCGTGGATCAGGGCTGAAGTTAGCAAACAAATTTCTGGGTCCTTATCGGGTGCAACGAAGGCTGCGCAACGATCGCTACGTGGTCGAGCGGGTAGACGATCATGAAGGCCCGATGACCACGTCCACCGCGGCGGAATACATGAAACCATGGGCTCGCGGTACCCACGACTCCCTCGGTGAAGAGAGTGAACGTAGCGACTGCGTGGATGATACCTAACCAATGTTTTCGGGCCAAAAGGGAGTACGACGGACAACCTGATAAAATTGTTTTGTACATAGAGTGTGTATGAGTGTGCTCGATTGCTGGAGTGATTGTACGAGTGAGGAATAACGATATCTGAGGTCAGATATCATTTGTCAGAACGGCCGAGAGTAGGAATGGTTGGCGTAGAATACTCCACGCACGATGTTAAGGAATTTTCCGATCATGTTATCACTATCCTTAAGATAATTTCCAATAGACATATCTAAATAAGACCACTTTCACTGTTTAACCCCTTAACCTACGATTTAGATTCGAAGATGTTAGGCCGAAATTGTATACAAGTTCGCGCAGCGTTCGGGACGTTCGCACGACTTGGGTACACGCCGATCCGGGCAATTGTAAACATGACGGACATCGCCCGTGGTAGAGCGGTCGCGGTTTGTAGATAGCACAGACAAGACTCGTGATGTATTTCTATCATCTCTTCGTATCGTAATTAGTTTCCAGTCGTTCTTGATCGCATTCGCACGTCGAAATTTACGTTCATAAATTCTAGAGAAGCAAACCCACAAGATGTTCTCTAGAAAAAGATTTTGTGATGAAGATAGTGAGAATTGTGCTATTAATTTTGCTAATGAAAGTGACAGTAGTGACGAAATATGTAAATTTCGAAGAAAGTATAGGCGAATAATTGTTGATGATACATCCGATGACGATCAACTACCAGAGTCCTGGGTTTGGAACGAAAGAAGAAATAGTCCAAAAATCTGGGACTATACAATGACTCCTGGCATAAGCGAGGCAGCCTTATGTCAATTAGGAGGAAGTAGAGGAGAATTTGATACATTTAATCTAACATTTGATGATATATTTTGGAACAATATTGTGACTGAAACAAATCAGTATGCAAATCAACTACGAGAAAATCCACATACAAGACGAAAAATTGACGAAACCTGGTTTCCTGTAGACTCTACCGAAATTAAAAGATATTTTGCATTGACGATAATAATGGCACAGATAAAGAAACCAAGAATCCAAATGAATTGGTCGAAGAGGGCTGTTATCGAAACACCTATATTTAGAAAATCAATGCCTTTGAAGAGATATCTACAAATAACAAGGTTCTTGCATTTTTCAAACAATAATCTTGTTGCCAATACAGATAAATTGAAGAAAGTTAGACCTGTGATTAATTTTTTGAACCAAAAATTTAAAGAACTGTATATAATGAGAAAAGACATTTCTATTGATGAATCTCTTATGAAATTCAGGGGGCGTTTATCTTATAAGCAATTCAACCCATCCAAAAGGGCAAGGTTTGGCGTAAAATTTTATAAATTATGTGAGTCCGATTCCGGATATTGTTACGAATTTAAAATATATACCGGCAACGATAAAATAAACTGTAAAGATAGCGCTTCAGAAAGTGTTGTGAAAGAGCTTTCTGAGTCAGTGTTGCACAGGGGTCACACTTTGTACATAGACAGTTGGTATTCTTCCCCAAAATTATTTATGATATTATCACATAAATACAAAACAAATGTAATTGGCACAGTACGTTCCAATAGGAAGAATATGCCAAAAGATTTGTGCAGTGTAAAATTAAAAAGGGGGGAGTACGTAATAAGAAGCTGCAACCGAGTACTCGCACTGAAATGGAGAGACAAGCGAGATGTTTATATGATGTCGACAAAACATGAAACAGCCGAAATGACTTCGCAAGGATCCAAACGCACTCTAAAGCCAAACTGTATTACAGAGTACAACAAGGGAATGAATGGAATTGATCTCCAAGATCAAATATTAGCATGTTTTCCAATAATGAGGAAATACATGAAAGGATACAAAAAAATTTTTTTTTATCTCTTTGATATTGGCCTGTTTAATTCTTACATCTTATGGAAAAAACTGAATGATGGAAAGAAACAATGTTATGTCGATTATAAGATCAACATAGCCGAATCTCTACTGAAGAAAATGCCAAAACCGATTTATAAAGAACGAGGCGTATTATCTTCCGGAGATGCGCCAGACAGACTTTGCGCGAAGGAATGGGCTCATTTTCCAAAGCACATTGATCCAACACCCTCTAAATTAAGACCGTCAAAACGTTGTACAGTTTGTCACAAAAATAAAAAACGGAAAGAAACAACGTGGGAGTGTAAAAAGTGTAAAGTTCCGTTACATGTACCAGAATGCTTCGAAAGATATCATACCGTTACAGATTACTAATTTTGTATTTTGGAGTTTTGTATAAATAAATATTTTGTAATACTTGCGCCTACCACAATTATTGCATCAGACTGTAAATGCGTATCAAATATTCCACGTAATATTTACATCGGGCCCGATCACCGTACGCGGGCTATGCCCGTCATTGTAGGTTAAGGGGTTAAACATTAGTCAGGGCACGAGGTCGCCGTCTGTGACAGTGCCTTTCCGTCCTAGGTATTTCTGTAAGGCGCGAGGAAATGCTTGGGCCTTTCTCCGTAAATAAAGGGCAATAAACAGCCGTCTCGGGTTTGACTCGAGCGTTCGAGGTATTACCTGGAGTACGTCAGGAAGGATGAGTGACCGTGCGCAAGGATCGTGTGAACGGGATGTTCATGAATGTATCGGTTACAAGCGAAGAGTGTCTCCAGGAATGCATCTGAGTGTTTAGGGTACGTGTCCCATTGAGTGCGAGGCAACGAAGAGTGCGTGGGAAAGCGTGATTGGGAAAGAGAGCATGGGAATGAAAGAGGATAGAGTATATGGTTTAAATAGGGATGCAAGGGCGTGAAGCGAGGATTATGTTGTGGTTTGTCGCAGTACGTATGTCGAGCAGCTCTTCTAGTAGTTCTCTGAGAGATAACGAATGTAATAGTCGTAATCTTAGAATAAGTTGGTTATCAATAAATTAGTTTTATTCTATACCACCGACCTTTTGCTGCCTTAATAAATAAAATTCCTACATATATCGTTACGAGATCATATCCACCCGGTATTCGGCCAAGAACAGCGGATCGTAACTTCAGTGCACAACAATCCAGCACCTCCCAGAATGTTCGGTTTAAATAACAATCGGCCGTTGACTATAAAAGGAACGTCTTCCATCGAAGTTTAGAGAGTGCTGTCAACCTTTTCGGTACGGAAAATCTATTCCGACGTTTTAGAATTCTTCGGCAATCCAGTGATCGTACTTGAAGAATAAGAATTACACTCGCGATTTGTAACAATATTATAATACTATTAAGGACTGTCAAGCCCTTTCGGACAACTGAGTATTCCGAACCAAGTCGAGCCTTTCCGCACGATGGGATTCCAAACTGCCGCGGGTAATTCGGATCTTTGAGAATAGTCGAAATCGCGAAAACCTACGAATTCTCGGAATTTTCATACCATGGTGCACCGTGTCGAGTGAGCGACTCTCCTTTCCCTTAACGGATACCGCGACTCCCGTGCAATTTCACCCAAACCCGTTCCGAATCCCCCGAAATCATGGCAACAACGCGATCGCAAAACTGTAACCGCAAGTGAGAACGAGATCACGACGCTGTATCAAAAGGTGACAGAAAAATATGTTCGAGTATATGCGGGCTTCTAGAATCGCGACACATTAGTGAAACCTGGCGGTTATATGACGTAACAGCGGTAAGCTACTGTAAGCACGTGAATTTCCGACTCAGTTAGTTGAGAACGAACTATGCCCAGAGAAAGACGTAAATAAAACCATTCAATTATATACGAGATTTCAATTTTATTAAAACGAAAAAAGCCTTAATCCAACAAAAGAAAGGAAAAACCACGATGAAAGGAAAGTTATCGAATCTCTGAAACGTGAACTAGAAAATCTCCGCGCTACGTGTTGTCAAACCCCCAATCAACCGCCCTCTATACGTAGCTTGATTGAACGCACAGACGCCGCGAATATGTCGATAAGTAGGGCGTTAGACTCAGTTCCCTCATACGACGGAACAAACATGGCAGTACTAGCATTCTGCCGCGTTTGCAAACGAGCAAAAGGCATTGTATAATATTTTATGTACGATGAGTTGGGTGTCGCATGTCCGAGCCTCGTGCTGATATGACTTACTCTCGTTTCGGCAATCTAACAGAGTGGACGTGTTATTTTTATACATTTAATTGCGAATCTTGATGGTTGGTAACCATATTAGGGACGATTGACACTCATCAGTTGGTACCATCTCGTAAAAAACAAAAGAAGGACCGCGTGGCGTAAAAAAGCAGCAGTTGCGAATGACCTCCCATGCGAGTAGCACGTGTATTTATTACAACGAATCTAAATATATTCATTTGTGACATATCAAGATTGGTCATGCTTCCATCTACATAATTCCAATAGGTTTTGGGCCCAGGAGAAAACTAATACAATTTGGGTGTGTATCTACAGTTTATTATATACCGATCTATTCAAATTACCAAGTATTGACAGTTACGATACCATCCGCTCGACACGGAGTAAAATACGAGAAAGTTCCTCTACTCGCATCTCAATAGTAATCTATTTAATTATCTACTTAATATTCATCGTTCCACCCAATTCAACTATGACGAGCGAACGATCGAGTGAAAGCGCTGCAACGTCCGTACAACAATCGACCTTTCTAATTGGTAGTATACCATTTATTGAACCAAAACTGGATGGAAGTTCTAATTTTACGTGGTGTAAATTCGTAATGCGGATGACGTTAATTGGACTAGATTTATGAAATTGCATGGATTGCGAAAATTCGAATACGTAGATTCAAAAGGAGTACAAAAAGTGCATTTACACCGTGCATCCTCCGCCATGGAAGGGAAACATGGTAGTGAAATTGAAAAAAAGTCTATATAGATTAAAACAGTCAGCCAACAATTGGAACAAATGCATCACAAGAGAACTGAAAAGTTTAGGATACGAACAAGAGAAAGCGGATCCGTGGCTGTATACGATAAGAAAGGTAACCAAGTTAGGAACTCATTTAATAATATATGCTGCTGATATTTTCAATGCCTCAAACGGCATTGAGGAAATCAGAAAACTAGAACAAAGGCTTTCAGAACGGTTCAAAATTTCGTGTCTCGGCAATATCAAGGAATATATCAGCGTGTGAGTGGAAAGAGATAAAAAAGGTATTTTCTATATACACCAGAAGAAAAACATTAATGGAATTTTGCAGAGATACGAACTGACAGGAGCGAAAACATCAAACATTCCGTTAGACATAGGTTATAAAGGTGAACAAGATGAAAAGCTGCTACCGAACAATCAGCAATTTCAAAGCCTAATTCGACATCTGATATATGTCGGAAATTCAACTCGGTCGGACGTAGCAGCAAGCGTAGCTATTTTAAACCAAAAATTACTAGGACCAACGAAAGCAGAGTGGAGAAAGGCAAAGAGAGTAGCTGGCTATCTGAAAGGTACGATTGATTACGCGCTAAAATTAGGAAACACCAAGAGTAACGAAGAACTAGTTGGACACGCGGACGCGGACTGGGCAGAGAACGAAGCAGGTCGAAAATGTAACAGAGGGTACGTTTTCCAATACTGCGTAAACTGCGTCAGCTGGGCTTTTCGAAAGCAGACATGCGTCGTCTTGTCTTCGGCGAAAGCTGAATATATGTCTGAGCGAAACTTGTCAAGAAAGACCGTGGTTAATAAAATTAGTACAAGATATTGAAGATAAAATACAACTACCTTTATCCATGTACGAAGATAATCAAAGTTGCATAAAACTCGTGGACAGTAACAAATTCAGTGGGCGGACGAAATATATTGACGTTAAGTACCACCACATAAAGGATTCCAAAGATAGTAAAAAGTTAATATTAATCTATCGCGAAAGCAGTAATACGATTGCAGATTTATTAACCAAGCCGCTACGGACCACGAAGATAAAGATGCTGATAGGAGATTGTGAGCTAGGACCAATACAAAAGATTGGCGACGTCGAGGAAGTATGTCGGTAAAACAGAGATCTAAAAACAGGCAATCATCGCATAAGACTAGCGACGCCGCCACCTAACATAACACATTTCAACGGTTTCGTATTCAGAAAGTCAGTCGTAACTAGAGCATTGAAAAGTAAACGTTGTAGACAGAATAGAATAAAAGCGATTCAGTTGTGACGTGAATATTAAAGCAGTTCCTGCGTATATTAACCCGATCGTAACATTTATCACCACTGAGCCCGTCAAAAACAAATTATTGCAAGACAAGATAAAAAATCCTGATGATGCCTCTGTTGACGAAGTTGCGTTTACCAGTAAAGGTGAGCAAAAACAGTTTACTCGTCTGCAATAATCGTAAAAAGGGCAAATATGCAGTTTAGCGGCTTTGCCCTAAACGCGTCCTTTTTTCCGGTTTCTTCACAAAAGGTTTTATTTGTGCCTCAATAAGAAATATAGATCGGGGGAGCTTGAAAAAGTAATGTACTTTTACCAGTTTTTTGACAAAAAACATAAAATTGTTAAAAACTGCAGAATACGTGGGTCGATCCCTATGATTTTTGAACATGTTATAGAAGACGAGATTCTGAACAACTTTTATCTGAACAATAATTGTCGCTTGGCCTTAATTTCCGAGATATTTGCAAAAATTGTTCACACTACGCACCATTACCGTTGCCGATAACACCACGTTATCACGTTGGCACGTAAAGGATTAATAATGACATTTGATGATGTAAAATGTAATATTTACTTGAAAAATGGGTACAAAATTGTTGGTAATCCCGTAGCAACAGGATCAATGTAAACGGCTTATATAAATTGGACACAGTTTCAACACATTCCTATGCAGCGACCGTTAACTCACAGTCATGAATTGTGGCATAAGAGGTTGGGTCAACGACAGATGCATGGACCTGTTACGGAAGAATCTTGCAACCGGAATTGTATTTAACGGATCAGATAGAAAGCCATGAGTTGCTTGCATACAAAGGAAGCAATCCAGAAAACCTTTCCCTCATACTGATAGAGAAAGGGCGAATGAGCTATTGGAATTATTACATGCAGACGTTTGTGGTCCAATGCCGGAAATCAGTTGGTCAGGGGCTAAGTATATTTTTATCATAATAGAGGATTTTTCTGCCATGACATTTGGTTATTTTATGAAAAGTAAAAATGAGGTTCTCGAAGTATTTAAAATATTTAAAGTCTGGGTAGAAAGAGAAAAAGGGAAAAAAATTAAAACGGTACGTACGGATAATGGAACAGAATTTGTTAACAAAGATATGGATGCTTTT